ATCTACAGGGTTATCCTCCCATAGGAAGGAGGGTGCTTGTGCCCTGGGTGGCTCAAGGGACCACCCAGCACCAATGCGACCAACCTCTTGCCTGCCATGGACAAATTTCAGTCCACAGACTCGTGGAGAGAAATCACTCTCTCGTCTGGGTCCCCCAAGGCTCCAAAATCCCAAGCATCCCCCCCCCAAGCTCCCTGCAAAGATCCATCCCACTGTGATGGGCTCTCTCCTGCCTCCTCGCCCGCAGCGCAGGGAGCACCACCGCCTCGGGCTGGCATTGAATCAAGAAATTAGGTACCTGTGGTGCTGGGGGATTCTCAACCGCAGCCACGGGCTTCTTGCTGGACAGCAGAGGAGGCGAGGAGGCAGCAGCTGGGCGTTTCATAGGTGGAGGGACTCTGGCTGGAGGCAGAAGGCAAGGAGGATCAGGCACAGAGAGAAGCAGTGACTCACACCACCCATGTGGGGGAAGGGGAGGGGGGAAAAAAAAAAAAAGAAATAAAGTCATCCAGCCTTGTGACATAGGACGGGACTTGCCACTCCTGACGCTTCAGTGCCTATTTTAGATGGAAGAGACAAACATAATCTAATAATGGGTCGGTGGCGAGGCTGCCAGGGAGCCTGGCCCTGCTGTGGGTCCCCTTCTGTGGCCCAGGGACGCCAGGCTCTCACTGTGATTTGATTTACTCATCAAATGCTGCTCGGCTTCCTCGTAACCAACTCCCTACGCAAACGCTTGAAGCCCAGAGCACCCCGGGTAGCTGCTGATGTATCGGCGTGACCCGCTGGGCACCAGAGCTTCCAGGCTGTCAGCAGGTCTGCGAAGCATCGCTCGCCCGTCGGGGCTGGCACCCACACACCAGTCCCCAGCGGGAGTCCTCGGCTGGGAGGCCAGCATCCCTGGAGAAGCACACGCACGTGGGAGAGATTGATCTGACGCTGTGGCCGGAGAGTGGAGCAGAGGAGACCTGAAGCCCTCGGCTCCACCCTGGAGAGCTGGCTTGGAAGAGCCTCAGAGCAGCGCTCAGCTCAGGTTGCAGTTGCAAGGACAGATGAGCTGATTTGAGACGCTCCACCCTGGCTCCCCTCCCTCCATCCTCCAGTGATAAAATTTAGCACAGTAGGCGAGCTGCTTATCTAGCTTTCTCCCATTTTAGTGGGTTAAAGCAGATCACAAAGGGGTCTGATTAGCACAAGGGGTGGTGGCCCAAGCCAAGAGGCAGGGAAGGAGTGCGG